TAAGTTAAATACAAAGAGACTAATTTATTTATTATTAATTAATTTTAAATTAAATATGAGCCAAACTCACATTATGATTTTTATATCTGTTATTATCGATTTATTTTAATTAAATATTTTATTTCCAAAAATCTTTATTTAGTTTTATCTCTTTTTTAACGATAATTTTATTATATTATAGAAATTATTAAAATTATGTACCTAGCGAAGGTTTGCAACTTGCAACTTTGCAAGTGGTGGTAGAGGTTGACTGAAGTTGCCTAGCTAGAGAAAGTCTTCTGGGGAGTTTCGAGGAAGCTGTATGTGGATCTTCTTTACAAAAAGGAATTTCTTAGCTGGCCAATTGGCAGTGTATGCGTAAGAAAGAATATCTTTATCCATACTCACCCAATCGAGAGGAGAAACTGACTCCAACTCAGTTTTTTCGTTTATCTTTTGCTGCGATATATAACAGAAACTACAACCAAAAAAAGTTGTTTTCTTCACCAAATATTTGACTACAATTTCATACATCCATAACACAAGAAAAGCCATAATGAATGCAAAAGTTTGCTGCCATTTCTTGCAACTTTGATATCACTGCTCCAACAGTAGGTTTGAATAAACTTTTTTTTTTCGTCGCAATTGACAAACACTCTTTAAAAAATTAATGTTCATTAAACTTATTGAAAATAGAATGAGACCCAAAAAGAAAAAGAAAAAGAACCAAATAAATTAACAAATTGTGAGGCAGACGGGGATTCATATTGTAAAGCAGCTACTCCTCAGTCATAATGCCACGAGAATAATCCGTAGGGCACGGCAGAAAAAAACAAAAATAAAAGAAAAACCACCCTCATAAAAGTTTAAAAAATGTAGGAGTAATATAACTATTAACGTAATTTTCAAGTGAAGATTCCATCGCTCCACTTGTTGATTAAAAATTAAATCCATTTTTCATTTAAATCTCAAACCCATAGGAGGAAACACTTAAACACTGATAATTTATTGCTCTCATTTTTCACTCATTTTAAGAACTCAACCTACTAAAACTCTCAAACTGTAGAATGAAAACAACTAGTAAAAAAATAACGGAAGCTAATG